CAAGTGTACGGCTGATGTCAAGTTCCTAAATTTAATTCACCGCTCAATTACACGTTGAATTCCCCCTTTATATAATTCGTGCGACAATTATACATCTGCTTTGGCCTAAGGAAGCTTTGTAAAAACCATGCTTTTAAAAGTCACATGAAAGATCCCTTAGAAAAATTTACTTTGAATGAAATTAAATGTAAGAATTAAAAATAGAATAGACTACCGCGCGGCATAACACTTTCTCGTAAGAAGAAACAAACCCGCACGCGGTATTTTAAATTATATCGCGTATCACTGATTATTGAGTATCTTACAAAACACTTCATATACAAAGTCTTATAATGCAAAACTTAAGGTATTTTAATATTCTCTTACGTTCCATTGAAGAAAACGGGGTTATGGGATTATGAAAAGTAAATTTCGATAATTTCAACAGCAGATATATTAACGTCAGTCGAGAATTATTAAGTTGTTTTTATAATAAAAAATTAATAAATATACATTATATAATAAATTAAAACATAGAAATAAAGGCTTACAAGTTTCGTCGGAATTTAAGATGTGAAATTATGTCAAACGTTAAAGACATCGCAGTACATTGTGTCTAGACATCGGTGTTAGAACACAGAATAGACGGTGGGTGACAAAAGTCAGATGCGAAAGTCGTAAGAAAAATAAAATTAAATAAAAGAGGGTAGAGGTGTAGATATTAGGTTACTCTAATTATTCTTTTATTAGTCTTTAACGTTTGACATAATTTTACATTTTAAATTTCGACGAACCTTGTAAGTTTTTACTTCTGTTTTAATTAATTATATAATATATATTTATTAATATTTTATTATGAAAAACAACTTAACTGTTAATTCGGATTCCTTGCTTCGCAAGACCATATATTGTAGCTCATACATATCTCTTTCTGTTCTTCAGACATTTGCGGGTGCTCGGGTAAGTTTGTTACCTGAAGAGACCAGTATTACTGGACGAAACGTTGTAAATTTTATAATAGAATAAAGAAGCGCCGGTAAGGTCGTTTCCACACTTAATTTTATTTCGATAATTTCACCGTTTTACCACTGTAAAACTTTTAACATTTACTTTTCACAATTCTTTGTTTTTTTAATTCTTAAAGTAAGTTTTAAGTTTACCTTAAATAAAAATTTAAAGTGTCCAAGTTTACTTTTATTTATCATTTTTCTAAAATAAAATTTTAAGGTTCCCTAAGGTGTATTTTCCCAGGGAAAAAATCGTTAACAATTAGGATCGGTTGCAAATTCAGCGCATGCGAGCGTCATAAAATCCTTGTAACCCCGTAACCTCGAACTGTGTGCTGAACACACTCAATGCCGTTGGCAAATGTTCAGCGTTCCCGTTTCAAAGAATTGTCGACTTTCTTAAGGATTCCATAATGCCACTTCGGTATACGACACGTGGCTCGGTATTTCTGCCGAGTGCCCTAAATTGTACGTAATCAGCATCTGCATAAAAGCATGTGTGTCGGAGCGACTCTTGTCAAGGCTTTCCAACGGGCTTAAATTTCTAATTACATCTTCGGTATATTTTTCAACAAGCGAATCTAAACGTCGCAATGAGTAAGAAGCCACAATAGTTTTCCCGTGATTAGAAGCGAGCGAAACTTGGTGAAGTTGAAGAAGTTTAATACTCGCATAATTACGCCGCGCAGGCTACATAAAAAGTAGTACGGAGTTTTGTTATTATCCAAGTGTGGGAGCTGCTTTGTTTCCCTGAATTTAGAACGCGAGGCGTTCTTCTTTCTAATGACAGATTCTTCGAAACGGCTCCTCAACGTAAGATTAATTTCTAAATACATCCCGAATGCATTTCAATCAATCCGATATATTATAAAGACACAACGAGTAAATATATTAATCGAAATGTTATTACGTGAGTAATAAATTAATTATTAGATGCAATAACAATGAAAGTTTAGAACAAAATGTTAACATTATTCTACAACAACGCGAAAGAATTGAATTTGAATTATTGCAACTGTAAAATGCAAAAGTAGCTTTTCTTTTAGTTAATTTTGTCATAAAAAGTATGCTGGTTTTACTTTGAGATTTGCATTTATTTGTTCGTGCCCAGATTATGTTAAGTTGACACAAACATTTGTACGAACCGTTTGAGACACGTAATCCGTTAAATTCAGCTCAAAACTGAATAAGCTAGATTTTAGAGGAACCTCCGTTATATTTTTCCGATGTATCCAAAATGCGTAATTCTTCAATTCTTTTAGAACGAACCTTCGCGGTAATAAACGTAATAATTTCCATTCCTGTTGTGCGCTAAGCGTATGCGCGAATGCACACTCCCAGGCATGTTGCATCGCGGATGTAACGCGCGTTAGCGCGAAATTGCGGCACCGCGTTGATTGACGATCGCATTTGTCTGGAGGCGACGGATTTAGAATTCGAAGCACTCACCTTTAGCAATTCTACTTAGGGCAGTGTAGCGACTCCACTTACAATTAGCTAAAATAATCTTTCTAATTACGTCGTGGCGTTGAAAGTTGGCCGCTCCTTACTTCGACGACAATGATGGAAAAAAATCGTTAATGCAGACGCAAAACATTATATTTTACGAGATAAATAAATTTTTTTTTATAATACATTGAAGACGACCTGAGTATAGGTCGAAACGTGTGTATTATTTTTATAAATAGAAGTTTCCAACACGCGAACACGTCAGCGTCTGGTTCGTTAGCTCCTTCGAACGTTATTTAGTAAATATAGCTATGTTTGTGGCATTATTCGAGGACCTCTTCGAGAGGGAACCGTAAATGACTGCTCGCCCCATTAAACACCAAATATCAGTTATGTAACGCCAATATTATTATTTCCTAGTTAAATTTCCTAGTCTATAATGTACAACATGTGTTACATTATATTTGTATCGTCGAGCGGAAATTATAATATTGAGCACTGTGTGCCGAGACGCGTCCGCAAATGTATCTATATTTATAAACATCAAGAAAATATAACTTTATTTAACACTGTCACCCGAAATAGCTCGTCAAAATTGGCCTCCTTATTTGCATTATTGTTTATTTCAAACAGAACACGAGCGTTACCCTCACATATTATAATATTGATGTTACGTAACCGTTGATGTTGGTGTTTACTGAGCACATTATTAAATCCGCCGATAAATCACCCAGAGATTCGACGCCGACGCGCGTTTTGTAACTCGCTTGTAAACGAACGTTCTCCTCTTCTGTTCAAGGTCCGGCAGTATGAGAGCCATCTACTTGATCCTCCTCGGCGTTGTCGCCGTGAGCGCCCAACGTCGTTTAGCCTTGCCTGACCCGCGAAGTTGCGCGAATCGTAAGTATTTCTATAGCGACATTTCGTAATCATGCTCCAATTTGGCGGCTAACTATGCGGAAAATCGCTAGAATCTGTAGCTAGAGCGAACGGCAGAGAGAGAGAGAGAGAGATGGGAAGAGAGAGCGGTTGCAGGGTCGTCTTCATTCATTAGAATACGTTCGTTGTGTCGTAACTCGCTTTGTGTAAACCGGTTCGCGCTAGTCGTGAAATAATTGCGCGCAGGATTTGCTCCATTTCTAATTTTCTGTAACGAGGCGCAACTTTGCGAGACGAATTAAAATCGCTCGACAGCTTCGTTCGCGTAACGAACTCTAAATTTTTCTTCGAGATGTACGAACGTAGGCAATACGTCACTGTTTTCTTTAAAGAACTAGACGAACTACGTTGAATTTTGTTGATACTTTGTATATTGTTAAAAATGAATATTAAAAATTTGCGCAAACAAAAATTATGATTAGATAATAATTTATTCACTTAAGCCCAAGAAATGGGACTTAATTTGCAATTCAAAACATTAATATACGCTCAACCTTCCATTCCTCTTTCACGTATTCCTACATAAACCTAGACCTCTAACAATATAAGATCCTATATACAATTCTCCTCTTGTCCCCAATATCTGCTTGACTTGTCTGCCTTACTTTACACTCTTTAGTCTTACCTCATTTTTATGTTACATTTCTTTGTCTTGTGTTACTTTACTATCTTGTTTATATTATATTTATTTCCACAGCCTTGTTCCCATTCTCTCCTTGTCGCCCTATTTTCCTCTCTCTCTCTCTCATTCTTTTTGTTCCTCCATTCACAACTTCCTTAGAATTCTCTTCTTTCCTTTTTATTTTGTCCCTAAATTATTAAACCAAACTCTCGTAATTTCTCATTCCTCTAAAATGACTTGTACTGTCTTTTTTCTCTATTCAAAATATTGTTGTTATTGTGGCTACCAAGATTTTTTCCGATAGAAAAATAGCATTTGTCACAATTAATTGCTGTTTATAGATTCGACAACAGATGCGAGAGCTTTTCGTATCGCTTTCTGTTGTAATAGATTTCGAATGAATTAACGACGAACGTGTCGTGCCTGGGAAAGTCAATTATCAAACGAGACACATTTAACGATGTTATTAATGATTCATTAACGTGCTCGTTCTTCAGGCGTTCGTCACTCGACGTATAGGGATGGCAGGGGGGTCGTACACTCGTACTTCTTCAGCTGGGAACACGGTCCGACCAGGAGTCTCGAGGTGGACTGGCTGGACGCTCGCAACATCTGCCGTCGTCATTGCATGGACGCAGTGTCCCTGGAGACCCCTCAGGAGAACGAATTCGTCAAGCAGAGACTAGCGAGAGGTGAGCGATGACGGGCTCGAGATCCACTGACAACCTCTTCGTCAGTTCGCACTTTTTCACTCCTCATGAGGATTCGCGATCTTGCGTAACCTTCGCGAATAAAACTCCCGTTTAGGAAAGGGTCGATTCACGCGTAAATCGCCGATTTCAACAATCGGGCTTTGTCGAGAATTGATAGATGGTGGATTTAATCGTCGGTTATTATTTTTGACGTTATACAGGTAGCCAATCACTGTCGCGTCAAGCTTCAACGATAAATTCTCCTTGATATCTCTTGATGCTACCTCAAGAAAATCATTCAAGCGCCCGACTGGTTCCCATCAGTCACGAGCAATCAAAAATACACGGTTCTGTGCGAATAAGTAAACTTTCGCGAAAGTAATCGATACAACTCTTGTAATTCAATTTATTAATTTATTTATTTTACAAATTAATAAAATTCACAAGACTCTCGTGTGATAAATACAAATTCAAAGGAACGAAAGCCGTGACGGGATGTTAGTGTCTAAATATTTCTTATTTTTAATTTATTATGAATTTATTTATTTTATTGAAGAAATTTAGTAAATGAGTAGTTATTGAATAAATTAAACAAGTATTAATTTATTAAAATTACTGGCAGAAATTTTATCGCGCGGAAGTTGCATTCGAATTGCATTTACAGCGTTTACAATAACAAATGAAAAGTATCCTTTACAGCGAAACGTATCTTGTTCTATCAAGTTGGGAATTTAATTAAATTTGTTCACGGTCTATTAATTGTAAGTATCCTTTTAATTAGAGAGGGAAAATAATAATATGCAGTTACACTCGATTATGATTAATATCTGCTATAAAAGGTAACTACTTGATCGCAACTCGGATTATACATCCGTGAAGACGAGCCTCGAGAACAATCAGATAGCCGATAAGTCGTAAAGATTAAGGAATAATTAATCGATTGCGCTTGGCTCGATTGAGGCTTTCAGAACTCGAAGTGTGTCAATGTCGTATTAATCGAAATATTTACACTCTCCTTGTGACTTGTACGTACTCCGTAAAAATACGAAGCGCACTGTCGCTGATTATATCATCTCTCAATGCTTCAACCCGTCGTCCGCAGAAAGAAAAAGAAAACGGAGACTACCGAGAAACTGTCGGCGTATTTCATGCAAAGTCAACTAGTTTGCAAAACTGCGGTAAATTACTCAGCAATTCAAATTACCGTTATCGTATATAATTTATTGACAAAGATACGCGCGTGACGTGGACGGGAAGATATTTTTCGCACACTTCCATATTCCACAGAAGGGATTTCCGAATTCAATGTCATCACACTTCGAGCAGTACATCTTCATACTTAAAACACTCGTTGTCAGTTCGGAAGTCTAAGAAGAAAGAAATCGGTATTTTCAATTCGTAGCTCGCACTAAATTAGAAATTGGCTTTATAAAATTGCAAATATCTTCCGCACAATTAAAGTACGCACAAAGTATGAAAATGTTCTGCTATGCGACCCACAACTTATTCTGGTATTATTTTGTGCACAAAAGCCATGATAAAAAGAATTACAAGCGCAAAAACTATATATCTTTGACTGTGTCGATAAAAAGATAGCTGAGGGATCATGGGAGATGCTGGAGTGATTCTGCACTTTTGCACCTTTCTAACCTAAAAACTGTCAGTTCGCGGAAACATTTGTGTAATATACAAATTAAATGGCTTACGTGTACAGATCGAAAGCAGCTCGCTAGTCCGGCCAAATTAAAGAACAATATGACATCATTGAAACTAAGTTTGTAAGTCTAATAAGAAATAATAGTGAGCGACACATACATACAGTACATATTATATGGTATGTGTGTTGCTCACTATTATTTTTTATTAGACTTACAAACTTAGTTTCAATGATGTCATATTGTTCTTTAATTTAGCCGGAATAGCAAGCTGCTTTCGATCATCTGTACACGTGCCATTTAATTTGTGTATTACACAAATCTTTCCACGAAACAGACCGTTTTAAGTGCAAAAGGTGCGAAAGTGCAGAATCACTCCAGCATCTCCTTAAATCAGTGAACTCTATACATACAGAGAGAAGCCTGAGAGATGTCACGGCCCCGTTTTTCGTGATACGCGAATGCGATACGCCCTCT